TGTTATGTTTCTTAATTCCAGGGCTCCCACCTGCCGACATCTCCCCCGATCCCTGAGGCCATCCTCCGCGCCTTGGAGTACATCAGGGCTCACCCACCACCACCAGAGAAGAACTAAATCATATCTACACTATCCCTTATAAGGAAAAACTATTCAACTTTATACATAACTAGACACATAGCCATTCACCGACTACCCCTAAACTATGCCTTAACTAAGAGTTACTTAGCGTTACAAATAGTTTAGGTGTTCCCCTAAACTACTTGTACCGATCTACCGACTAGGTGTCACTTATGGGTTAGTGGAAATCCAAATATCGTGACTGCACAGGTGATGCGGTGGCTAGGCAACCGGCTACTGCGCAACGTGTCGCGGGTTCGATTCCCGCACGGAACAATTCTTTGTGTGATCTACAAATTATTGTTCTGGGTCTGTGTGTGATGTTTATAGGTTTGTAAATGCACCCACGACACAGGAGACAATCCTAGTATAGGACAACGTTAGAGGTATCTTAAAAAAGACAATAAGAGAAGATGATGAAAACGAAACTATACTGCGATCTCCAACCCACCTGCCTGCGGAGATTATGACAAACCCTCTTATGTAGAGGAGACTCATAGTGCAGCAGTAGATTGTCAACCACCGCTACTCTTCCCGCGGGTGTCATATACCCGACTAAGGGACTATAAGGACAGAGACCGTGCAGCAGCGCTCTTTGATAAACCTGAACCTTGTATACTGCGAACTCCAACCCGCCTGCCTGCGGAGATTATGGCAAACCCTCTTATGTAGAGGAGGCTCAGTTCAGCAGTGGACTGTCAAGACGGTTTATGATAGTAAGACTCGGATCCCCAACGCAAGTAACGCCTTTGGTGACGAGTGTCCATGGACGACGCTGATTGCTTACCATCATGTAATACGTCTGTTCATCGAAAAGGCTTAGAAGCCAAATTTTCTCATCATCATCAACAGTCTATAACTATCCCACTGCTGACCAAAGCCTCTTCTCACACGGAGAAGGTTTGAGCATTAATCACCACGCTTGCTCAATACAGGTTGGCGATTACAAACTTATAATTAGAAATTATAAGCCCAGGTTTCCTCACGATGTTTTCCTTCACCGTTTGTCAGTGGTGTCTAAATAATCTTACGGTCGACAATTTAACAATTGTTGTTAATCGAAAATCTTTAAATGGATCTCGAATTTTGACATAAATTATTGTCAAAATTCGATTTTAAGGTTAATATCGGTCGTTAGAAAAGTTCAATAGTCTTTCCGTACAAAAGGGATGTTTAAATATTTTAGTAATACATATTTTTGTTAATATTTTTTAAGAATGCCAATTTGTAAAATACTCATTCGTTTGAATTTTGTTCTTATATTTTCTTCTGTGATAGAATAAATAAAATTCTGTTGTTAAAATGTATATTAATGTTGTTTCAATAAAGTGCTAATGTCTATTTCCTAATTGGCCTGACTCGTTGGTCGAGTGGTCGCAAGTGCGACTGCCGGGCAAGGGGTCCGGGTCGGGCAAAGTACTAGTGTTTCTTAAAAAAATCTCAGTAGTAGCACGGAGTCTGGAACTGTGCCCGGTATATGGCAATAGGCTCACCCCCTATTACATGGGACTCATAACATAAATAGTGAAAAGTGGGTGTTACATTGTACAGTGGTATTAAGTGCCGTAATGTACACCTCTGCCTACCCCTTCGGGGATAAAAGGCGTGATGTTATGTAATGTCTATTTCCTAATCTTTTCCAAAATAGGAAAACATTTCATCATTGTGTTTGTTATAACTATCGTGAGACATATTAAATTAAACTGTCAAACACCGCGCGGTCACCGGTGACCGCAACCTATTGTTCTATAATTGTGTCTACAAACCGGTACTCGACGAGTTAAGTAAAATCGCGGGTTACTCACGTGAATATACTGAGAAAAGCTCTACTAGTTTCGAACCACAGCTGCGCTCGTATCGTATCGACCGCACACGCTACTCATGAGGAAGAACCAGTCAAGGAACGGAAACTCGGATTTATAATAAAAATAAAATTTATTTAATAAAATCGAGTTACAATGTTTGTTGAGCGAAGTCTGAGAACAGAATGAATTCTAATGGAAATTACAAATAATTATTGGTACAATAAGGGTGTCATATTACTTATTGCGAAAGAGGTAAACGAATGGGTAAGCACAAAATGTTCCAAGAGATTCTACACGTGTTTTATATAATGCTGACTTATATACCTACTAATTATGTTGCTAAGCTGAATTAGTGCTGACAAAGCATATATCTATAGGGTGGGCACCCTTAACTC